CCCCTCCTGCACCCCAACCCCCTGCCCTGAGCCCCCTGCCGCACCCCACACGCCTCCTGCACCCCAACCCCCTGACGTACCCCGCACCCCTCCTGCAGCCCAACCCCCTGCCCTAAGCCCCCTGCTGCACCCCACACCCCTCCTGCACTCCAACCCCCTGCCCTGAGCCCCCTGCCGCACCCTGCACCCTGACCCCCTGCTGCACCCCTCACCCCTCCTGCACCCCACACCCCAACTCCCTGCCCTGAGCCCCCACCACATTCCACACCTCTCCTGCCCCCCATGGGGGCAGGGAGGGGGCAGAGTTGGGGTGGGGATTTCGGGGAATGGGTTGGAATGGGAGCAGGGAAGGGGCCTCATGGAACGGGCGGAGTGGGGGCGGGGGGGAGGTGTCAGTAATGCGGCCCTCGGGCCAATGTACTAGTCCTCATGTGGCCCTCATGGTTGTTTGAGTTTGAGACCCCTGCCCTACACCTAAATGGCAGCCCCACAATCTGCCCCTCAGGATCCTCCAGACTCCCCTCGCCTGGGAGACTCCCCCCAGCAGAAAAACAAACAAGGAATCCCCTGGTCTCCCCTGCATAGCAAGGGCCTCACCATGTCCCCAGGGCAGGAACTGCACGTCCCCTAGGGGGATACAGGTCCCATTGCTGGGGTGGGGTGGGCTGCATCCTGGAGAGCAGCAACTGGAAGGGACTTAGGGGGTCACGAGTGCCCAGGAGCTGCCCGTGCGATACTGGGACTGAGAGGGCTAATGCCAGGGTATAGACCAGGGGTGGACAAACTGTGGCCCGCGGGCCGGATCCAGGTCGCGAGCCATTTTAAGCCGGCCCCCAAGCTCCTGCTGGGGAGCAGAGTATGGGACCTGCCCCGCTCCGGCGCTCCAGACGGGGCGTCAGGTCGGGGGCCACACCACTCGGCTCCCGGAAGCTGTGGCATGGCCCCGCTCCAGGGCGCAGGGTCGGGGGCCGTACCAAGCGGCTCCCGGAAGCAGCCGCATGGTCCTGCTCCGGTGCTAGCAGAGTCGGGGGCCGCTCCATGTGTAGGAGCCAGAGAAGGGACATGCCACTGCTTCCAGGAGCTGCTTGAGGTAAGCGCCGCTCGGAGCCTGCACCCCTGAGCCTCTCCCCATGCCCCAACCCCCTGCCCCAGCCCTCATCCTCCTTCCACTCTCCAAACCCCTTGATCCCAGTCCAGAGCACCCTCCTACACCCCAAACTCCTCATCCCCAGCTCCACCCCAGAGCCTGCACCCCCAACCAGAGTTTTCACCCCCTCCTGCACCCCAACCACAATTTTGTGAGCATTCATGGCCCGCCATACAATTTCTACGCCCTGGTGTGGCCCTCAGGCCAAAAAGTTTGCCCATCCCTGGTATAGACAGAGCTATCGAGGAGCAGCAGGGAGTCTTACTGCTGGATCTGGCACTGGGGAGCCCATCACTGGAGACTGGGTCCGGTTCCTGGCCTGCTGCTCCGCGACTGCTCTGTCTATACACTGGCATTAGTCTTCTTAGTCCCAGCATCGCACGGGCAGCTCCAGGGATCCTGGGAATCAATTCTGCATGAGAGGGGAGCGGTGCGGGCCAGGGGTGATGGATGTGGAGGCTGCTGGGGAGGGTGCTGAGCGGAGCAGGGGCCAGGGGAAGCTCAGAGCCAGAACAGTCACTGAGAAAGGCAGAAGAGATCAAACCCTCCTGCCTTGGTCCCCTGAGTTGCCCCGTAAGGGCTGGCATTGGGACAAATGCCCCCTACCGGCCGGTTATTCCAGAGTTGGCCACGAAGGGGAGCTCTGTACCTTCCTTGGGAACATCTGGTGCTGGCCAGGGTCAGTGGTGGGAGAATTCCATCCTCTCTGATCCAGCATGATAATTGAGAGCTCAGGACTGAGGGGCGCAAGAAGAGCTGTGGGGAGAGTGGGGGGGAGGGGGCAGGGCTGGGATAGCAGGGGGCTATGCGTTGGGCCCAAGGGGCATTAGCAGAGCTGCAGGGGAAGCCCTCAGCTGGGATGGCAGGGGCTGTGGGTTGGGATTGAGGGGCACTGGCTGAGCTGTGGGGAGAGCCCACAGCTGGGATACCAGGGGACTGCGGACCAGGACAGAGGGGCACCGGAAGAGCTGGGGGGAGTCGTGCGCAGTGACAGTCCCAAGCCCAGTGGCCATTCAGCCTCCCACGGCCCCTCTCCCAGGTACCCAGCTGGTGCGGTTGACTCCCTTCTGCCTCTCTGACCCCCCAGCAGTGTCCTGGGTGTGACAGGTTGGATCACAGAAACCCCCTTGGGAGCTGCCACCCGATGTGCCAAGACTACCTCTGCTCCTGCCTTCCCTGCCAGCTCGGGACCCCAGCACCCTGTCCTGCTGAGCCACACACTCCCGTCTGCTCCAACAAAGACCCAGGGTCTGAATTACTTGCCCCAAAAGCTTCAGGTTTACCTGAAAGCAGCTAACAGAAGTATTCCTGTCTTTAACACTCAGATGCCCAACTCCCAATGGGGTCTAAACCCAAATAAATCCGTTTTATCCTGTATAAAGCTTATACAGGGTAAACTCATAAATTGTTCACCCTCTATAACACTGATAGAGAGAGATTCACAGTTGTTTGCTCCCCCAGGTATTAATACATACTCTGGGTTAATTAATAAGTAAAAAGTGATTTTATTAAATATAGAAAGTAGGATTTAAGTGGTTCCAAGTAGTAACAGACAGAACAAAGTAAGTCACCAAGCAAAATAAAATAAAAGGCGCAAATCCATGTCTAATCAAACTGAATGCAGATAAGATCCTCACCAGTTCCAGAATGCTCCCTTTTACAGACTAATCTCCTTTTAGCCTGGGTCCAGCAATCACTCACACCCCTTGCAGTCACTGCCCTTTGTTCCAGTTTTCTCTCAGGTATCCTGGGGGATGGAGAGGCTCTCTCTTTAGCCAGCTGAAGACAATTGTCCTGGTTAATGGAAGTCATCAAGATTTCAAACCACCATTAATGGCCCACACTTTGCATAATTACAATATGCCCTCAGAGTTATATTTTATATTTCTAGTTTCAGATAGAAGAGTGATACATTTATACAAATAGATGATCACACTCAGTAGATTATAAGCGTTGTAATGATACCTTACAAGAGACCTTTTGCATGAAGCATATTCCAGTTACATTATATTCACTCATTAGCATATTTTTATAAAACCATATAGACTGCAACGTCACACTGGGCTCACAGCCCTTCTCCGGTCCCCTCCCCGAGCTGACCCCCCCGGGAGGGCTGGGATCTCTTGCTGAGTGTGGCTGATTCTTGTAGATCTCTCCTCCGAGGGGAAGAGCTCGCCCAGCCCCCGGGCCCCGGGAAGAGGCACTGAGAACGACGTGTCAACCGGCTCCCAGTTCAGTAACGTGAAGGTAAGAAAATCCCAGCTGCTGAGCTAGGACTAGAATTTTGCCCTGACCCGGGGAGCTGGGAATGGGAGAGGGGACAGGCCCCCGGTGTCACACCCCAGGGACATAACTCCGGAGAGGGACGCAGATCCCACATCTCCCTGGGGACACTCAAGGACGCTCACACATGCCCATAGGCTATGTAGGAGCACACAGAGACCTGCACCTTGAGCCCAGCGGCCATGCAGACTACCAGGTCCCCAGCTGGTCTGGTTGACTCCTTCCTGCCTCTCTGGCCCCCCAGCATTGTCCTGGGCTCACAGCCCTTGTCCGGTCCCCTTCCCTAGCTATCGGGGTAGCTCTTCTCCCCTCCCCTCCCCCCCTGAGGTGGCTATGTTTCAGCGCTGGCTGAGTGGCACGAGAGCCTTGTTACTGCTGGCTATTCCTCATCCTAGGGGCTGATATGGAAGAGGCTAAGAGAACGGAAGGGCCGGACTGCATCCAAGCCCGACTCCCCAACAGCGCCCCTTACGGACGGCGACAGGTACACCACCGCTGCCCCTGGCATGAGAGCAAGAAGCCTCAGCCCCATCTTCCCCTGCTCGGCCAAGGCTGTGGGGAGGGCCCTAGGATCTGGGGAGTTTGGGGGGTGTGCCTCCTCTGAGCAAAGCCCGTGGGCACCCCTACAAGGGGACCAGTGGGGGTGATCAGATGCCCTAGATCTGAGGGCAGTGTAACAACCTGTATAGGGTTCAGTAGAACAGCAGCCCCCAGTGAGCAGGGTGCTGGGGGTTCCCCCCCAGCAGGAGCGTCGCCAGCTTTTCTGACGCCCTAGGCGGCGGAAGGTCCTGCCGCCGAAATACCGCTGCGGTCGCTGCCCCCCAAATTGTGGTGCCATAGGCGACTGCCTTGGTCGCCTAATGGGTTGCCCCGGCCCTGCCCACCAGACAGGACTGAAAGTGTGGATGCCCCTGGGAAGTGCCCCCACCCTGCAGCCTCCTCCCTTCCTAGGCCTAGAGCAGGCCATCCCCGTGTCCCCCAGGGGCCCTGCTGCAAGTGTGTGCCCCCCCAGAGGCTGGGGCCTGGGCAGATGGGTGGAATAACTCCCCACAGTGAGGAGCTGGGTACAGTGGTGCCAAAGGATCCTGTGCAGCATTTATCCACGGCACCAGAACCCCCTGCCCCTGGGCCGCCCCAGTGCTCTGTGCACCAGGAAGCTGGTATCTCCAGCGGGGAGGGGGCGGGGGTGGGCAAATGCTGATCCCTGCTCCAGGAGAGGCTCTGGACTCGGACCCTTGCTGTGGGCAGAGACTGGGTTGGGACCGGCAGGAGGGCTGGGCGGGACGTGACCGGCTCATTCTCCCCCCAGGCTGCCGAGCCGGCATGGCTCCCGTGAGTCCCTGCTGCCGGCACCGAGTGCAGCTGAGCTGGATCTGAGTGGCGAGGACGTAGTGATCCGCCCGTTGCACAGCAGCATCCTGGGCGAGAAGTTCTGCTTCCAGGTAACGGGACTCGGGGTGGGTCTCCCTGCCTCCCCCGTGCTCCCAGGGCGCCTCCCAGTGCAGCGCGCCCTAGGGACCAGCCCCTCCAGGGCCAGAGTGCATTGTTGCCCTGGGGCACCAAGGGAAAGGATTGAATGGGGGTCCCACATGGAGCAGGACAGGCCCTAGCTCCAAGGCACCAGCCCCAACCCATGAGCACCAGCCCTGTCCTGGAAGCACAGGACAAGCCCGAGCAGATTCTCGTCCCCTCCTCCCCCCCATGGCAATGCTGGCCACTGACCCAGCATGACCCCGCACCAGGTCCCCTCGGCTTTACTGCAGCTGTGCTCCCCCCACTGACTACCTCCCCCTCCCCCCGCAGATAATCAATGCTGAGGGGAGCCGCTGTTTCGGCTGCACGTCGGTGGCTGAGCGGGACCGGTGGATTGAGAACTTACGCAGAACCGTGCAGCCCAACAAGGTGAGATGGCCCCAAAACGCCAGCTGCAGAGCAGTTATCCCCCCCCCTGTCAACTGGGGAGCGGCTGCGCCCCCCCAAATGCCAGCTGGGCAATGGCTATCCTCCCTGCAATGTCAGCTGGGGAGGAGCTGCGCCCCCCCAAAATGCCAGCTGGGGAGTGGCTATCCTCCCTGCAATGTCAGCTGGGGAGGAGCCTCGCCCCCCCCCGAAATGCCAGCTGGGGAGTGGCTATGCCCCCCAAAATGGCAGTTGCGGAGCAGCTATCCCCCCCATGTCAGCTGCGGAGTGGCTGCGCCCCCCCAAACACTAGCTGGGGAACGGCTGTCCCCCCCGCAATGCCAGCTAGGGAATGGCTATCCTCCCTGCAATGCCAGCTAGGGAGCAGCTGCGCCCTCCCGAAATGCCAGGTGGGGAACGGCTATGTCCCCCAGTCCTTGAAATACCATCTACAACCCCCAACATGCGAGCTGGGAAGTAGCTGTGTTTCCCCCCACCCCGATACGTCAGCTGGGGAACGGCTGTGTCCCCCCCGACTCACCAGCTGGGGCGGGGGAGTGCAGCCACTCCCATGTACACCGGGCACAAGGAATTCACCCTTTGCCAGTTGCCCTTCACATCACCTGGCCCCTCAGCACCCCCACCACCCTTGCCCTGCCCCACAGCACCCCGGCTTTCTCCCTCCCCACGAGCTGCTCCCCCTCCATGTGAGCAGGGGAGCTCTCCCTTCGCTTGCATTGCCGAGGCGTGTCCGCACCCCTCATGCTGTGCCGATCCCCCAGGACAACTGCGAGCGTGTGGAGAACACCCTTAGTCTCTGGGTGTACGAGGCCCGAGACCTGCCCCCCAAGAAGCGCTACTTCTGCCAGCTGCACCTGGATGGCGCCCTGTACGCCCGCACTACGGCCAAGGCAGCGGGTGCGGACGGGGCACTCTTCTGGGGCGAACTCTTTGAGCTGGCCACGCTGCCTGCCGCACGGGAGCTGCACATCGGCGTGCTGCGGGAGGAAGAGGGGCGGCGGCGGGAGGCCAGCCCCCTGGGCACCGTGACCATCCCACTGGGGGAGCTGGCCGCCTCGCGCCAGCCCTTGGAGAAATGGTACCCTCTGTGTGGAGCTGCCCCCAGCCGGGCACCTGCTCTGCGGCTGCGTGGACGCTACCAGGAGATCCAGGTGCTGCCCATCGTGAGCTACAAGGAGTTCGCCGAGTATATCACCTTCCACTACCGGGAGCTGTGTGCCGGGCTGGAGCCTGCTATTGCTGTGCGCCACAAAGAAGAACTTGCCAGTGCCCTGGTGCACGTGCTGCAGAGCACGGGCAAAGCTAAGGTATGGCTGAGCCACCAGGGGGCGCTCTCAGTCCCAGGCCATCTGAACTGTACAGGAGAGCCTGAGGTAGAGCCGGCTCAGCAGCCCCCATGTGGGCCAGAGAGCCCTGCTGTGCTCCTAGGGGCAGGAGCCAGGGCACGACCCGCTGCAGGCGGCAGGGAGCTGTTCTGCAGGGCTCTGGGGGGCAGGAATCACCTGATTCCCCAGAATCGGGCCCCACGCCCGCGCCTAAGGGGGCCCCGCTCCGGGGGTCTTCGGCGGCATTTCGGTGCTGCGAAAAACCCGGAGCGGACCCCCCTGCCGCCCAAGTGCTGCCGAAGCCCTGGACCGCTGCCGAGTATTCCAGTCGGGCCCCCTGCTGCCCCAGGATGTGGGTGGTGGGCTGCCCAGCATCACCTTCTGGGGTATAACTGGGGGGCTCAGCCCGGAGAGGAAAGGCTGTCCTGCCTGGCAGGGGGAGGGGAGGGGGTTGGGGGTGGCACTGTGATGGGGCATGTGCTGGGCAGTGAGTCGCTCACAGGTCCCTGGGAGAGGGTAGTTAGGGTCCTTCCCCAGCTGCGCAGCCCGCAGCTGCTTCCCTCAGGGCCCGGAGGGGCAAATGGTCATTAGCAGCACCCCCTCCCTCACCCCACAGCCAAACCCAGCCTGGCGGTGCTGCAGCACCCTGGGTTGGCTGTGTGCTGCAGGGATGGGGCTGGGTGGGCCCAGGGATGGGGGCCAGGGACGGAAAGTCTGGATCCCAGTGACCCCACCCCCTCTGGCCCCATAGGCATTTCTCATCGACCTGGGGGTGGCGGAGCTGGACCGCTTCGACGACAGAGAGGCACTGATCTTCCGCGAGAACACACTGGCGACCAAGGCCATCGACGAATACATGAAGCTGGTGGGGGGGCAGTACCTGCTGGACACACTGGGTACGGGCCAGCCAGCAAACGCACTGGGGGGGGATGGTAACAGTTGGTGGTGAGTGACCTATGGGCTGATGGGCTAACGCGCGTGTGTGTGTGTGTGAGAGAGAGAGAGAGAGAGAGAGATGGGTCATTTGGCTAATGGACTGGGGGGGAAATGGGTTGGCGGCTAGCCCACGGGGGGTGTGTGTGTTTGTGTGTGTAATAGGTCAGTTGGCTAACACGTGGTGGGGTGTAATGGGCCAGCTAATGCACTGGTGAGTTTGTAGTGGCAGGCTAATGCCCCAGGGGGGCAATACACATTGCAGGGGGGGGTGCAGAGAGAGGATGCTGGCTTTGGAGCAAGATGGGCCTCCAGGGCCTGTTCCTTGCAGCACTTTGCTTTCTCCTTTCTGCCAGCAATGTCCCCGTCCTGCTCCCTCAGCCCCCATGGCCAAGTGCATTTGCATCAGGCTGAGCGTTGGCCCTTCAGCTCTGATCAGAGAGTCCTGGTTCTGGCCACGCAGTGCCCAAGATGGGACAGGGGCAACCAATGCCATTCTTAGCCAGACCTCACCCAGCAGAGGGCAGCAGTAGAGTGCAGCTGTTAACACACGTACACACTCGTGCATGTACACACAGGTACATGTGCATACACGCACACCTTTGTACACATCCACACATGCACACTTGTGCACTCTTGTATGTGCATATACACCACTCATGCACATACATGCACACACACACTTGTACAAACACACACACATACACATGCACTTGTGCAAACACATACTTGTACATATACACATGCACACATGAGCCCACTTGTACATGTATGTACACACACGTGCATGCACACTCTCATATACTCACACACAAGTGGGCACATTCTTTGGGCGTCTCCAAATGGCCAGCTCGATTGTACTATGCCCGTTGTGTCCTGTCCGGCCGCAGCCCTGGCACCTCATCTCTGGACCCCACCCAGGCTCCGTGTCAGTCTGGGCTCTTCCATGTGTGTTGCAGGGGAGGCTATTGCCCAGTTGTACGAGTCGGAGGATAGCTGTGAAGTTGACCCCAGCAAGTGTGCAGCCAATGACCTGTCTGACAACCAGAACAACCTGCGGCAGGCGTGTGAGGAGGTCTTCCAGAGAATCATCAACTCCTGCGAGTGAGGGAGAACCCTTGGGGAACGGGGGGCTGGGCTTACCTGAGGGAGAAGGGATGGGACTTGGCTTGCAGGGAGGGAGGGGCGGAAGCAGGGCCAGGCTTGCCTGGGGGGCAATGCAGGGCTGGGCTTGCCTGGGGGGGGGGGGAAGGAAAGGGGTAAGCAGCATAGGCGCCGACTCCATGGGTGCTCCGGGGCTGGAGCACCCACAGAAAAAAATTGGTGGGTGCTCAGCACCCACCGGTAGCTCCCTGCCCCGCCCCCCCTGCTCCAGCTTACCTCCACCTCCTCTGCAAACGCGCGCTGCCACGTCTTTCTCCCCCCTCCCTCCCAGCCCTTGCGCCGTGAAACAGCTGATTCGCGGGGCAGGGAGGGAGGGGGGAGGAGGGGGAATGCGGCGTGCTGGGGGAAGGGGCGGGGCCGGAGCGGGAATTTGGGGAAGGGATCCAATAGGGGCAGGGAGGGGCGGAGTTAGGGCGGGGACTTTGGGGATGGGGTTGGAATGGGGGCGGGGCAGGGAAAGGGTGGAGTCGGGGTGGGGTCAGGGGCGGGGCCAGGCGGGGGGGGCATGGACACCCACCGGCGCCGGAGAAAGTTGGCGCCTATGGTAAGCAGAGGCTCAGTGTCCTCCCACATGGACAAGTCCCAGCAGCCCTGTGATGCTTTCTTGCCACCCTGTTGCCTCCAGTATGAAGGAGTCTTTCTTGTGGTAGCTGGGAGTCAGCTCCCTGGCACCACCAGCCTTCCAGCTGCTCACGCCCTCTTCTCAGGACTTTGCCAGTCCTACTGTGCTTGTAGGTTAACAGTCGGTGCTCTCCATCCCCGAGCTCCCTTTGAAGAGCGTAGCCCTGTAATATCCAGCCCCTGTTACTGGGCACTCGCCGGCGTTACTAGGCTCGCTGTCCCCCAAAGGGAACAGTGCACACACCAGCTGGTTTGGTTCAGCTGAGGATTCGCACTGCCTAATACCATAACACTGAGGTACGTTTATGATAAAACAAGAATACGTTTACTTACAAAGATTCAAAGACTCGGATGAGTCGTAAGAATATTGGAGGCAGAACTGGGTCCACAGATAAAACAAAACATGAACCGCAATCCCAGGCCCACACTCACTCATGGTGGCCTTTCCAGTTTAATAGAGTAGATTCTTTTCCATGGATACAGCCTTTGACAGACCTGCTAGTTTTCAGCCACAACCAAGATCCAGGGTTTCATGACTCCCCACCCCCTTCAAGGGGTTTCCTTAGCAAATGGATGCTCAAATGTCCTTTTGCTTCTCTTTAGCTTTCCCCAAACTCACTGTTTTGTCCCCCGAAGCCAGGCTGACCCGTGTGGTTCCCTTCCTGGGGTGCTGGTCCCACACTCCTGTTTGTTGCATAGCCCCCATCAACCTGGTTTTTGTGTTGACTTTCACACGTAAATGGGGTCCCCATTGTGTTGGCTTTACAGTGCATCATCTGCGTCGCGTAGGAGAAGAAATATACTGTGTCTGGAAGAAAACTTGTTTGTCAGCTCGGCCTAGTTCCATAGTTGAGAACATATTGTAGTAGATACACATAACTTCTTACGTGCCGACTGTACGTACATCTCACAGAGCTTACAATGACCAGTGTGCAATAAGCTTTCATTTGACACTCCACACAACACTCTCTGCAGATAAATACTATGACAGCAATGTGTTAGGTGCAGTGAGTTTGTCAGGCCTGGTAGGCGTTGCTGTTACAGACCAAGGAACCCTTTGCCAGTTGACACTAAGGGGTTGTTAGGGTCCCAAGCCCCCACCGGGGGTTCCCCAAAACTCCTGCTGAACTAACGTCTCTCCTTCCCTGACCCCAGTGGCTGGGCTGGCCACAGGAAGGATTTCCCCCTCCTCAGCTCCTGTGGGCACTGTGGGGTCTCCTGGTGGGTGGCCATGGGGCCTGTTTCTCCCCAGCTGAGGGGCAGCGGAACCCCAACTGACCTCCCTCAGGGCTGCCCATTTGCAGGGAGCCTGTGTTTCCCAGGGAAGCCCTGAGGGGAGGGAGCCACTACTGGACAGTCTGTGCTGGGAGCCACGGCCCTAGAGTTAGAGGGGGGGGTCTGGAGGATCGCCCACTATGCTCCCATCACCCCGAATCTGGGTGGGAGCTGGGCCAACACAGTAATGGGAAGCCAGGCCTGACCTCAGGGGAAACAAGGGACATGGGAGCATGAGCAGAACATTGGGGTGAGGCCCGGCTCTGGGACCCCAGGGGCAGTGCTGGCCCCTGCGGACATGGGGAGGTTAACCCCTTCTTCCCCAGGCTGTTTCTCAGGGAGGCACCGCGAGGACCTCTGGTCCCATTGGCTGTCAGGGATTGTCTGAGAGATGCTGGTGTTTAGCTGGCACTGTCCCCCTCCCCCTCACCGTCTGTGCCTGTCTCCTCAGCGCCTTCCCAGCGGAGCTCAGCGAGATCTTTGCAGCGTGGCAGGGGGAGTGCCTGGAGCGGGACAAGGAGGACATTGGGCAGCGACTCATCTCGGCCTCGCTCTTCCTGCGCTTCCTGTGCCCGGCCATCATGTCCCCCAGCCTGTTTGGCCTCACCCAGGAGTACCCAGATGATGCCACCTCCCGCACCCTCACCCTGGTGGCAAAAGTCATCCAGAACCTGGCCAATTTTGCTACGTATGTATCATGGCTTGGCTCTGCCCAGGTCCCTGCCCCTCTGTGGGGTGATCACGTCTGTATCATGGCTCGGCTCTGCCCCTCTGCGGGGCAATCCTATCTGTATCACGGCTCGGCTCTGCCCAGGGCTCTGCCCCTCTGCGGGGCAATCCTGTCTGTATCTTGCACACAGCTCTGGTCCCTGTGGTGTGGACCCAGCTCTGGGCGAGCGAGGCAGGCTGTGCCCAGTGTCACTCTGAGTCCCTTACCTCAGTCTGCCCGGGTCTTCCCCTTCCTACTAGCGTTTTGAGGGCCCTCGGCGAGGAAAGGGGATGAAGAAACTTTGGGGGGTTCCTGTAGAAATGTGGGGTAGTCCCAGCTGGATCCTAGCCCTGGGCTTGGTGCTTGGCCTGATAGATACGTGGGCTGGGAGGTTCCCAGCAGGCAGGAGCTGAATCCAGGTCACTGAGCTCTGGCCCAAGTTGAAGAGCTGTAACCAAGCCCCAAAGAGCTTTAAGAGCCTGAACAACACCCAGTCCCCATCTCCATTACTCAGGCCTTGGAGTTGTGATGCTGGGCTCCGGCCCTGGGGCCCATGGTGCCAGGATCTGGTTATTTGCCAGGGGCCCAAAGTCACATTATTAAAAGAAGCAGGAAAAACCCTTCCAGCCTCCTCAACTAGCAAAGGCCGCGCAGGAACCCCAGGTAGGTCATCTTGAAATGCATGGTGCGCTCCAGAGCAATTCAAAAGGCCAGTGCTGTGTAACCCCCAGGCTTCCCCCTCACACTCATTTGCCACTCATTATCATAGTACCTGAGCACCTCACAATCACCAGCACCCTTCTCCTCCCTCATCGCCCTGGGACAGGACTACTGTCCCCATGGGGCTGAGGGGACCTGAGGCACAGAGTGACTTGGATGCACAATGAGTCTGTGTCAGATCAGGGGCTTGATCCCCGGTCTCCTGACTCATAGGCTAGTGCACAAACCAAAGGGCCATCCTTCAGCTACCAGCAGCCTCTTGGCTATGGTTCCCAGTAGCCCTGAGAGCCCAAGCGCTAGCCAGGCACTACAGTGCCCATCACTTTAGCAGCATGTGGGGTGGGCTCAGTTTCCCTTGCAGAGTCAGCTTCTCACTTTCTCCTATGGTTTGTGTGGACCATTCACCCAGCAGCCAGGCAGAGACACTGGGCAGAAGGCAGGGAGACGTGGCTGTGATGCCCCCATGCGCAGGGGCACTTGAGCAGTGTGATTACCTGAATCTGTGGTTCCCCCACCAGGAGAGGGCAGCATAAGGCTGTGGCATTCACGTCTCCAGCAATGCTAGTCACAACCCCTCACCAGCGGCGTGCTGTCCCCTGCAGAGCCACTGTTCAGTATGGGACTGTTCAGCATGGGCCAACTCACCTGACCCTGGCTCCTAGAGCTCGCATGTATGGATGTGTGGGAATGTGCTTGCCCCTCTGTGTGCATGACCCCATGCCGTGTGTGTGACGCCTGCACCGTGTGTGTGACACCCGTGCCGTGCGCATGCTGACCTTGCCGTGTGTGTGATGCCCGTGTTGTGTGCATGACGCCCACATACAGCACCACCGTGTGCGTGACATCCATGCCGTATGCGTGACGCCTGTGCAATACCACCGTGTGCGTGACGCCCACACCATGTGTGACGCCTGTGCTGTGTGCGTGATGCCCATGCCGTGTGCATGATGTCCGCGCTATGTGCATGCCCGTGCCGTGTGCGTGACACCCACGTGACATTGTGGCTCCCGCAGGTTCGGTGAGAAGGAGGCGTACATGGGGTTCATGAACGAATTCCTGAAGCACAACTGGAGCCGCATGAAGTCGTTCCTGCAGAGCGTGGCCAACCCTGACTGCAGTGCCCACCTGGTGGCTTACGACGGCTATGTGGACCTGGCGCTGGAGCTCTCCACCCTGCACTCGCTGCTCTGCGACATATTCACCGGCCTGGACCAGGTACTGCGGGCTGGGGGTGGAGTGCAAAAGAGCCAGTTAGGTAGGGCAGAGTGGGGGCTGTCCGTTCCCCCCGCCCCCCAGTTTCATACAGGAGGTGTGCTCCCAGGCGGAGCTCTGAACTGCTCAGCATTAGTGTGAAATGTGAGTTCTGCAGAGAGGTGCTTCTCCCAGCTTGTGTCCCTGGGGCAGGGAGGCAGTGTTTTGTTTACAGACAGAGGCAGGTAATTAAATTAAGGATCTGGAAGTTGTTAGATGAACAAAATGGGGGGGGGGGTAGAGCCAAGCCTTCTGAGCCAAGGTTACATTCAGAAAAGAGGAAGATGTAAGGGGCATAAGTGAAAAGAAGGGGCCAAAACCCAGGAAAGGGCTAGCAATGGTATAGAGAAGTTCCCACTCTACCTCTGGTACTTATGTGGCCCCATCACTGTAGTATCTGCGCGCCTCACATCACAGCCCCTTGGGGAGGTAGAGCAGTGCTGTTATCCCCATGGTACAGATGGGGCACTGAGGCACAGAGACACTAACAGCCAGTTTTTTATATGTATTTAGGCACCTAGTGGGATTTTCAAAAGCGCCTGCATCTTTGGGTGCCTAAAAAACCATATTATGACGCAAACCGTCATACAGGGACGTCCATTGGGGAGGGGAGGGGGGAGTAGAACGCAGGTTTCTCAGGGCTAGCTCCCTATCCGTTGGACCAGCCTTTCTCTCTGCTCCATGCTGCAAAAAAGAGGCCTTTGATAGATGGGAGCAAAACCAAGAAGGCCAGTTCACTGAGACTCCAGCACACGGTCCCAGATGATTGGGAACAATGTCATGGCTGACAGTATCAAAAGCAGCACAGAGGTCAGGAAGGATGAAGAAAGAAAGAGAATGAGAGTCAAATGAGAGGAGATCATTTAATGGCCAGTGGGTGGCAGGTTCTGCCCCAGGCTGGGTTGCACAGCAGTGCCTGCTGTGCAATTTTAGATTTTAACTGAAAACCATTTGTTTTGTCGTTTTTTGTTCTGAGTTTGAGAAAAGGAAGGAATGAGAAAGTGTCATATGAGCATCAGATGTGATTATACATCAAATTCTTAGGGTTTCAGCTGTATTCAGGCCAATTTCAGAACTAAGAACAGAAACTGATCCACAGAGCCCATAAAGTCGACCATTATTGTCATGATTTGTGTTATTCACTGGGCACCATCTGTGTGCTCAGCACTGTTCAGAATATGCCAGAAAATGTAGTCCCTGAGCCAGTGCATATAAGATGTGTAACTCTGGATAAGATGGCTCAGATATTTAAGTAAGAAGTGTATAGTTACTGACCCCACATGTTATCACATGTTCACTGTGATGTTTATATCGATGAGTGGAGGCGCTGAGGGCAATAGAAGTTTTACTTGATTAAGGACTAGAAGATTTGACCCTCCGACTTTCTTTCAAGAGGAAGAGCTGCCCAGAGCTCCTGTGTCTGTTTATTTTCCTTTCCTGCCTGCAGTGGCCCTGAGATACCTCAGAAGTCTCAATTTCCCCCCCAACTTTAAAATGTTGAATTTTCTTGGTGTTTGATTTAAAATATTCTCCTGTGAAAACTGCAACTCAATCACTGTAGTATTTAGGGGCCTTCTGGAAAGTAACTAGCTTTTAAACAGAAGTGAAAGCAGCGTTGCCAACTCTCATGATTTTGTTATGAGTCTCATGATAATTACTGTTTTCCTTAAAGCCCCAGCTCCTGGAGTCAAGTGATGTGTGATGATTTCAGCCTTCATTCTTAAAGAAAAATGAAGTTTCTAGCCCTTGTGGCTGTGGAGAAAGCTTCAAAATGTGACCCCAGTGCACCCTAAAGGCTCAAAAAGCAGAATGTAAATAAAAAGAACTCAAAATCTATTATTTTTATATAATCTCATTATTTTAAAGCCAATCTCATGATTTTTGGTGAGACTGATTCTTGATTTTTGAACATTTGGGGTTGGCAATACTGTGAAAGTGACTTGAAAGTGTCAGTTTCACTCACTCCTGTTTAAAGTCATTTTCTAGTCTATCATTTGTAGTGGGGTAACACCCCTACAGCCCCAGGCAGGTGCAATATAAACTCACGGGACCTTGCCCTAATAGGATGTTTCCAAAAGTTAAATGATCTATTCCAAGCTTGATGAACTACAAAAAAGTGATAGAAAGTCATCTAGGTTTTTCTACAATTGTTTTATTCAAGAGTTAGTAACAAAGTAAGAATATACATTAATTTTTAAACCTAACTAGTGTCCCTTAAGTGAATTGACACAAGATGTCAGAACAAGTATTAGAGCTGAATGGGTCTAATATTTATTTAATTTTCTTTCTTTATATAGGAATTAGAAATTATTATCTGACAGGAGCACTGTATCTAAGTTATTGTCTGCAAAAAAATAAGAAAGTTTTCAGGTGCCCAAGTAGCCTTTGGAATCACGGTTAAAGTTGCCCCCCATCCCCCCCCCACCAAAATCTGAAATGGCGCCCATGATGGGATGGAAGTGCATTGACAGAGCACATCTGCCCCCTTGTGGCCAGAAGGTAGAAAGGGCTTATCCACTGCAGGGTCCCACAGCCAGCGACCGGTGTTGCTGTGTATGTCTGGAACCTGCTAGCATCCTCGAGCATCTCCATCAGCGGAGACTGTAGGACCTGCATGGGCCACGCTGGGTTGGTCTGAGCTGGGAACTGTCTCTCTGTGGCTGTTCCAGTTGGAACCATGCTGAGCTGGACCCAACTGGGCATCGCCCCTTGGATGTGCTGATGGGAGCTGTGCTGAGCCGACCCAGCTGGGCATTGCCCCGTGACACTTTCCACTGGTAACCAGGGTTGGGTGGCATCTTGCCGGGTTCAGCTCCCCGACTCCATCAGCCACAGGCAACACAAGCACTGCCCTCTAGGCCTCTGCAGGCCCTGCTCTCTCTGCCGGTTAGCAATTGGCACACCCCAGGCCCCAAGGCCCCTGAGTGTGTCCCTGGAGTGTCCAGTCCCTGGTCCACTGGACACCGCAGTATTCAGATTCACTGCTTCCAAAGGAACAATCCACCCCTGCTTACCAGTCCCAACTGAGATCAGTGCTCTGTTTAACACGCAGCACAGATATGACTAGAGTGAAATCCACAATAGGTTTACTTAACAAAGCAGAGATTTGAGTAATAGCAAGGGAAAGGATTGGAAACTAATGGCTTCATATCAAATAAAATCGTAACACATTCTAGAACCCAGACTTAGTTAGCAAGCTACTCTCCTGGCTAATCAAGTATTGCTTGTTGTAGGAGCAGCAGTGATCTGTATGCTATGTATAACCTGTAGGCTCAAAAGGTCTGTTACACCTTGTCTCCTCTCCCTCTCTGAATATCTACCTGTGAAGTGGCTTTCCCCCACCCCTCCCTCCTGGAATGCTTGTGGGATGAATGGGCTGCTTAAACAGCTGGAAGATCAGAAGAGCTCCCAGTTAGACAAGGTGTCTGGGACTCTAATTAGGCAGCACTCACACACCCAATGCATGGACACTGGCTGAGGTGGAGTGTGACCAACCAAACACAGCCAAGTCATCTCTAGTCGCAGGCCATGACATTTTGATTAGGCAGCACTCACACACCCAATGCATGGACACTGCCCAAGGTGGAGCGTGACCAACCAGATGTGGCCAAGTCCTCTCTAGTCACACGCCATGAGGAGCAGGTCCTTAAAAGGGGAAGGGGCCATGTGCTCAGGAGTGCACTCACAAGCTTGTACCTCCCGTGAAGGCCCTTTGCCCGGACTGCCTGGCCAGTGGTTCACTGCATTGCATTCCATCGTGCCTCAGGAAGACCTACCTTCATCACACCATCCATCGCTGTGCTGTGGGACACTTACCTTAAAGGATCCTGACATCTCCAGTGCCGTGCCTGTCCTGGGAGCATGAGTATGCGAGTGTGAGTGTGACACCCTCTCCCCCCTTCTTTTGAGCTTAGCTATCAATATAATAAACGTGTTGCTTTCTGCCAAACTCTCTTGGGTCATTAGTCCTCCCTAAGCTTTACTAGCTGACCCAATTTCGGATAACATTGCTCACTAGAGCTTCACAGCCACTCGGGTTGTGACCCTTTTTCATGAAGCAAATCACATTGCCACCTCAGTGAAGGATCCAGGGCATCTTTTGGTACCCTTAGCTACATCAGAGCAGTCCTTCATCCTTATTCCTAAACAGAACAGCCTGGCTGATTGAGTCTTCTATGGCTTTCCTCTCACCTTGATTTTGCAATCTTGATTATCATCCAGTTAAGTGTGCAAATAGACCTCCACTGGGAAGCAGACAATACGCCAGACACGTGCGACCAGACAGGGAGATAAGCATCTGTTACTGCTGCCCCCGGCCGTGCCAGTCAGAGCCGCGTTGAGCCAAGCTCCTCCAACAGAGCTGGCATGGCCAAGCTGGGTTTGTCTCACACGAGACTGAGGGACACCGCTATTGGCAAACCCACAGCGGTGAATCTTCTCCCTTTGTGTTTCCCGGCAGCGAACGAGGGAGCAGTTAGAGCCCCTGCCGACCATCCTCAATGCCATCAAAGAGGGGACGCCAGTGCCTGTCTCCATCAAACTTGGCCCCGGCATGGACAGGTACCTCCTCTCCCCTCCCCATGAGCGGTGGTCCAGGCAGTGCAGGACTCCATGGGCCTGGGGGGTTCTGTCAGTGACAGCAGCAGGAGCAGGATGGGGCTGTTGGAGTTGCCAGAAGAGCTTGGCACTGTGTGGTGATGTTGGGAGATGAGTCTTGGGAAATCCACTCCCCGCAAGATGTGCTCCAGACTGGCCTGATCCTGCCAGTGGGGCTCAGACAAGTGATGGTGCTCTGGCTCGTGGGGGTGGGGCCTGGCCATCATAAGGCCCGGGGGAGGGTTTGAGCTTATGTGGGGGGTTAGGAGGCAGCTCAGGTGTGGGCCTGGAGAGGGTTTGGGTCTGGAGTCTCAGGACCAAAGCTGGGCTGTGGCTTTGGGTTCCTGGGCCAGGTGGACGGGGAAGAGGGACAGCAGGGAGCGGAGACTAGGGCCTTGGCTATACTTGCAGATGTATAGCGCTGTGAGTTAAACCTGACTTCGTGCAGCTGAGTAGGGAAAGCGCTGCCGTCTGTCCACACTGACAGCTGCCCAGCGCACTGTCGTGGCCACATTTGCGGCAATTGCAGCGCTATTGGGAGCGGTGCATTATGGGCAGCTATCCCACAGAGCACCTCTTCCCATTCTGGCGCCGCGGGTTGTGGGAAGGGGGCGTGGGTGCGGGGCATTCTGGGTCCTGTCCCAACGCCCCGTGATGCATCGCTTCGCATCCCAGAAATCCCTTTGTTTCCGTCCACCTTTGGCGCCATCTTTCAACGGTTTCTGGGAAATGGAGTCCGAACTGCTGAGGCGTATGCTGACTTATCTCGCCAGCACGTCACGTTTGGCTGTTGAACTATTCCTTAAGATCCAAAGTGACAGTGACAGTGAGGAGTCCGATGATGCTATCGAGCCGCGTAACGCGTACAACACGAAATTGCTTGTGGCATTCACGGACATGCTCAGCACCATGGAACGCCACTTTTGGGCTCGGGAAACAAGCACCGAGTGGTGGGATCACATCGTCATGGAAGTCTGGGATGACGAGCAGTGGCTGCAGAACTTTCGAATGAGAAAAACCACTTTCATGGGACTGTGTGAGGAGCTTGCCCCCAACCTGCGGCACAAGGACACGAGATTGAGAGCTGCCCTGCCAGTGGAGAAGCGGGTGGCTATTGCAATCTGGAAGCTGGCAACTCCAGACAACTACCAGTCGGTCGCAAACCAGTTTGGAGTGGGAAAGTCGACCGTTGGAATCGTGTTGATGCAAGTTTGCAAGGCCATTAATCACATCCTACTCAGAAGAACCGTGACTCTGGGTAACGTGCAGGAAATAGTGGCTGGCTTTGCACAAATGGGGTTCCCTAACTCTGGAGGGGCGATAGATGGGACGCACATTCCTATTCTGGCACCACCCCACCTAGGATCCGAGTACGTTAATCGGAAGGGGTATTTCTCTATGGTTCTCCAGGCGCTTGTGGATCACCGTGGGCGTTTCATTGACATTAACACCGGCTGGCCAGGAAAGGTGCATGACGCACGCATCTTTCGGAACACTTGGCTGTTCAGGAAGATGCAGGCCGGGACTTTTTTCCCAGAGCGGAAGATCATGGTAGGGGAAGTTGAAATGCCCATTGTGATTCTTGGAAATCCCGCTTACCCGTTAATGCCGTGGCTCATGAAACCCTACACAGGGAGCCTTGACAGCAGCAAGGAACGGTTCAACTACAGGCTGAGCCAGCGCCGAATGACTGTGGAGTGTGCCTTTGGCCGTTTAAAGGGCCGCTGGAGATCTCTGTATGGGAAGCTGGACTTGGCCGAAAACAGCATCCCCGTGGTTATATCCGCGTGCTGTGCCCTCCATAATATTTGTGAAGGGAAGGGTGAAAGCTTCACTCAGGCATAGACCTCCGAGGTTCAACACCTGGAGGCTGAATTTGAACAGCCAGAGAGCAGGGCTATTACAGGGGCCCAGCGCGTGGCTGCAAGGATTAGGGATGCCTTGAGGGAGCAATTTGAGGCTGAAAACCAGCAGTGATATCTGGTGCCCTGCACGGGAGTGAAGTGCAGTAGTTCCAATCTTTAGGAATCAGTGTTTGCTAAGCAGACAAGCAGACTTGCAGTGCCTGTTTATTTCCTGGGCTAAGGAGTCTTTTACTTTATGCAATAATAAAGAATGTTTTCAAAGCCAAAAAATCCATTTATTGAAAAGAAAAAAAATTTATTTATTGAAAAGAAACAAGGGGGTGGAGTGGGGAACAGTACAATCACAGATTCGCGTCTGTCCTGTCTGGTGTGCTGTGCAGTGAGTGCTGCACTTCAGGACAGCTATACTGCATGGTGATGGGGGTTGAGTGCAGAGGGTAAGGGTCGTGGTTTTCAGGGCTGGGTGGTGAAGATACTGGTGTTGGAGGCAGCGGGTGGCGTGAAGAACATGGAAGTTGGGGAAAGTGGGTTGGAGGTGACAGTGGGGCACAATGGAAAGAGTTTTGGTACAAGGGCTGTGGGGGGGGGTGGCGTTTGCGTTTGCGGTACTGCTCCTCTTTCTGCATGGCTACGAGCTCCTGGATAGCATCTGCTTGGCGCTCCAGGATGCTTATGAGCCGATCAGTGCGTTGCTGCCGGTGCTCGGTGCTTTGCCATCGGTGCGCTGCGTTTTCCCGGTGGATCCTGCTTTCTCTCTCCCTCCAGTTCTGTGCTTTCTCATTCTCTTCAATAGATTGCCGCATCACTTCTTGCAGCATGTCTTCTTTGCTTTTTCGCGGTCTCTTCCTGAGTCTTTGCAGTCTCCGAACAGGCGATAAGAGGGACGGCTGAGGTCTCAAGGTTGATGCTGCTGTATAGGCAAAATGCAACATTTAACAGAGGCAGCATTGTTTATACCAGACAGAGTAATGATTCCCCCCGCGCTTAAGGAGTAGAAAACACACAGGGTCTATACAATAGCATAATTTTCCCGTCCGAAACAGAGCACACATATCCCACGGGAGCCTCAAAATGGTGAGTAAGGGGGACTGATTGTTTCAGGGCTGCACTGTCCTCTGGGTTTCTGTGCCTTGGGGAGAGCCAACAGTTTCAGGGGGCACCTACACTGAACACTGTCCCAACATTTTCCACAGGAGTTTGTCCTGGACGATATCTCGCTGCTGAGGGTGACCTGGGAAGCAAGGGAGGGTCTTCTACTGCAATGCGGCTTCCGCCCTGGCCCGTATGCAGCTTGCCTGTGTGCAGCAATGGTCCCCCCGCCCCTCGCGGCACAGTGGCGCAGACACGTTAGCCTGGCTGGGACAAGGACCACGGTGGCTCTCCCGATAAACCTGCGCAAGCGCATTGCACACGTTCTGGATGAGACATTTGAGGAGATTACCGAGGCCGATTACCGCGATGTGATAAAGCACATCAATGCACTATTCCGCATCTAGGCATGCATGCCTAACCGTCC